AAGTTTGTTCCAATCATGATGACTGAGAAATTGAACTTGTACGGCCTTCTAAAAGTGACTTTTTGGAATCTCTCTAGCAAGCTGACATCACTGGGTGACATCAGCTCAGGAAAAAGTACAGACATGCAAAAGTAAAATGTAGAGATGCAAATCGCCTGCCAGGACTGGCTTATGCTGACTTTTCCAAGGCAGGACATTAAAATTTCGAATGTAGCAGGAGAACCGTGCATATTTATTGTAAATGTTTCTGTTAGCCAGGTAATACTAGTTATGTCAATTACAATCAGCTAAAGTCATATTTTGGTGATCATGAGTAGCCTCCGTAGCAGGCTTATAGAACTGGGGGTTTGGTGGTCTTCGGTTGTTTTCTGATTAGCCTCCGTAGCAGGCTTATAGAACTGGGGGTTTGGTGGTCTTCGGCTGTTTTCTGATTAGCCTCCGTAGCAGGCTTATAGAACTGGGGGTTTGGTGGTCTTCGGCTGTTTTCTGATTAGCCTCCGTAGCAGGCTTATACAACTGGGGTTTGGTGGTCTTCGGCTGTTTTCTGATTAACCCAGTTCTAACCGGGGATAATTCAACCAGGCCTAGCCTCTACCAGGCTTGGGGAGGCGGCTGGAAAGAGTAGAAATCGGCCAAAATATAGAGATAAGCATGGCAAGGGAGTTTGTCCGTTGAGAGAACAGTTCATACTTTGGGCTTTTAAAACTGCAGAAATAAGCCCCAAGATGAGTCCTTTATTTTCTGGGTGGTACACTAAAAATCAGCCCAGGGCCCTTCCAGTAACCATTTTCTGTCAGAATTTTGGGAATTTTTGCTCCATGAGGGTCAATATACATTGGGACAGTGTGGTTTCAACTCTAGAATATTGGCTTTGAAAATTGAGTTTCCAAGCCCTAAAAACTGCACTAGATGCCTTTAAATCTCTAAATTTGGCTGTGAACTGTAGTACTATTAGTACCAACAATGAACATTGATTCTACAACCTGCACACACAGAGTCTTGTATTACATCATGCAGAAAAAACATGGCCTACTCGAATGTGCGGCTATAAATCTCCTGCTACGTTTATGGTTAGACTTAACGATGGGTCGATACATGGATTACAGAATCGTCAGCGATTTTTCCACCCTGCAAACTCAGCCTTTTTAATGTTGTATAGTACTATTAGTACAATAGAGAACGGAAACATAATGCTAATATTAATTGTGGAACAAGCAGTTAAAAAAGCAATCAGTTGTGTTGTGGTAATGCTGAAACAATACTTCTAATAGTATAGCATTGAAAATATTTGATGTTTGTATTCACTATTAGTATTACTCACTGCTATTATTTGACTAAATAAATTATGTCATATTTACACAACGTCTTTCAAATTGAAAATGGACACAGGAAATAAGTATGTTGAGCCATCACTCTATTACATAACCTTACTGTGTAATCTTGTAACGTTTTGTGTTCAAACACATGTTACAGACAAATTGCAAATTTCAACTGCACCTTCAAATTTAAAATGACTACCGTCACTAGCTGTTATAATTCTGAGTGCCAATATACATGAACATAGTGTATCAATGATTGTGCCCCAAAAATGTGTTAGAAATTAATTTGAAACGCAGCTGTCTTTTCAAATTGAAATCTGCTAGTGTTATGTAATAATATTCTGAGGCATTGCTATTAATATTGAGACTCAGGCACATAGTCAATATATAACGTTGTATCATTTTCATTTCATAATCTTTTATCATATATATCAAAAAACGTTTGTTCCCAAGAATGTGTTGGAAGTTAATTTTGAATTGCATCTGTCTTTTCAAATTGAAATCTGCTACTGTTACTGTAATATTCTTGGGCAAAGCTATCAAAACAATACATCAATTTCATTTCATAATCTTGTCATAATCATTTGTATAAAAAATGTTCTCAAGAATGTATCAGAAGTTAATTTTAAATCACATCTGTCTTTTCAAATTGAAATCTGCTGCTGTTATTGTAATAATTCTGCGCCTGTGCCAGAAAGACTTGAGTGTGTTCAAAGTCAAAATATACATGTATAAACTACAACATTGTATCAATTTCATTTCATAATCTTGTATCAGAAATTAATTTTGAATCACAACTGTCTTTTCAAATAGAAATCTGCCTGTGTTCTTGTAATAATTCTTGGGCAATGCTATTAAGACTCATACTATTAAAAGTATTATAGTTGGAATGTGTCAGAAATTAATTTTAAATCACAGCTGTCTTTTCAAATAGAAATCTGCCTGTTACTGTAATACTAATAATTCTGTGCCAGTAAGACTATCCTATACCATGTTAATCTTGTACCCGTGCAGTGTGTATTGAACACTGAGCTCTGTGTACTGTAAGATGATGTATGAGCGCTGTCAAATCTCCACCATGCGGTGATGTGTTGTGCATGCTTGGGTGGTCCTCGGCTCGTTAAGGTGCCTTCGTTAAGATTCAGAGGAGGAAGGGAAGATGCTAAGATTATTTAAAGTTGCCTGGCTCGTTGTTTTGAGTGTGGAGATTTAAAATGTGGGATAGAATTATAGAAAGAACATTTACAGTAATGCAAGAATTAGAGCTGTGTTTGTAAACACATTTTACAGCTACACAGGTGAAGGTATAGATCCGGACCTGTATATCTACATTTTCTTGTTTTTAAACTAAAAGTAAGATATATACATGTAAATCGTGACATACAATTTTACAAAGGCAACAATTTACCACTAAAAGGACAGTTAGCTACATGTATATTATAATTAAGAAATCATGGGGATTTACCATATTATAAGTTATTCTTAACTACATATGGCATATCCCTGTGAAAGCGATAAAATTTGTGGTAAAAAATTCTTTTTTTAGAAAACCTGATCATGAATTATTTTGAGCTGTCCTTTTTTTGATTGATTCAAACTTACGAAAGTTTTTTCTTCTTGTTTTTTCTGCAGGTAACTTGTGATTATTATGAGACGACAACCCGCCTCTCCTGCGTACAACACACGGGAGCAGTCGTCACGGGAACAGTCGTCAAGGCAACGGGGCGCGCGCAAACGCACCCGCAGCAGCCAGGTTTGTTTGTTTGTTTTCTCCTGTTGCCTAGGTAACTCGGGGTTGAACAAGATTTCTAAAATCCACTCCCCAATCGGTCATTTCTACTTGCCTGAACCAACTTTTCACTTGCCCAAAATATACATATTTTTATGCATTTTACTACCACCAAGGAAATCTTATTTTGGAGTTTATAACGTTGGAAGCTTTATTCATGGAAATAAGGTGGTTTGACTTGCTCCAAACACCATAGCAGCTATACTTTGCATCCAAAAAAATTTTCTTGCCTGAACAGTACTTTTACTTGCCCTGGGCAATTGGACTTGTCCAACCCTGTAACTGTATAAGTAAAAATTGTTTTGGGCTTTATCTCAATCATAGACATCGTTAAACCACACCTGATTTCCACATGACTGTACCACATAATACAGCCCAGAGTTCTAGGTAGGATTTAATTTTAGCGTAGTGGCACTGGCCGCATGATGAGGGAGCGAAGCGGAGCTTTTAAAAATTTGAGCTTAAAAAGAGGCCATTTGAAGGATACCCAAAGGGAAAAACTGTTATTTCTAAGATATGTACAATGTATCCTTGATTTTTCACATTTGATCTGACATTCTTAATCAAAGAAATACAGTCACAATGTCCCTATGCTGTATTAGAAATTAGCATAGGGGGAAATGTAGTGTAGGGGGTTAAAATTATAGCGTAGGGGGGAAAATTTAGCGTAGGGGGTCAAAATTATAGCGTAGGAGGCCCCTACGCTACTTTGCACTAGCTAGAACCCTGCAGCCCTGTAGTATACATGTAGTTCAGGAAATCTTGTTGCCAGCAGTATTTGATTGAGTCTGATGTTTATACAGGAAAGACTGTCGTAAATCGGACCTTTGCCAGCTGTACCAGGAAAACCACAGAGGCCAGACAGAATTGCATAACAGGGCTGGAAATAAACGTCAAACCTGTACATAATGTAATGTGCATAGCGCAAGTATAGAACATCTCGTCTATGGTCGTATCCATGTATTTAACTTTTAAGGATGACATCCCTTTGAAATGCTATGGTTTTCAAATGTTGTGTCAGATAAGATACATGTATTGTCTGCAACAGGCAAAATTCTGATGCAACGTCGACCAGAAACATTTTTCCAGATCTTTTTTTTTTAATCCAGAACTAGTTGAAGGGAGAGAAAATGTGCAGGTAAATTTGCCTGGTGTAGCTAGTTTTACCTATTCTAGAAGCAGAAGCAACCTACAGTGGTTCCCCCCTGGATTATGTTGACAATCTTTAGTGTTGACATGAGGAGAGAGTTATGTTATGATGCAGAGGCAGAAAAAGGATTTACTCCCTGCATGTTAAATTTCTTTGTTATGTTATGTAATCTAGTACCTATAACAACAAAATCACGGCCTCCTTGAGTTCAAAATGCAACCTACAATCTTTCCTGGATTATGTTTACAATCTGTAGTGTTGACATGTGGAAAGAGTACGTAGCTAGTTATGTTTTGTTGAAGAGGCTGAAAAAAAAAGGATTTAACTCCCTGCATATGTTATATTATATAATCTAACAAAAACAACAAAATCACAGCCTCTTTGGCTTAAAAAAAAGGAATTTCCAGTCCTTTCCCCTAGATTACAATCTGCAGTGTTGACATGTGGGGAGAGTTAAGAGTTATGTTGTGATGCAGAGACAGACATGCCTGAATAGCTCTGACCTTTCCTTGCCTGCTGTGTGCCGTCAATCATAACAGTGGCATTCAGCCTGCAGTTTGTGCACGGCCTGCTAGGTGTCCTCGGGAAGCCATGGAGCTTCTGTTCATTACCTTCGCCAAGAAGGTTATGTTTTCAGAGGTGTTCGTGTATGTTTGTGTGTGTGTGTGTGTGTGTCTGTAAACATGATAACTTGAGAAGGCCTTGATGGATTGTATTGATACTTGGTAGGTGGGTAGGTCTTGATGAGACCTGGAAATGATTAGATTTTGGACCCCCTAGCAGCTTGTTATGGTACTGCAGCTGAACTTCCGGTTTTGATATCTCGTGACCTAGACATGGTAGTCTCTGACTGTTTTTATGTAACCAGTTTTGTCTGTTTCAGGAGTCAGATTCGGACAGTGATTCGGAGTCGTCTTTATCCGAGTCGAGCAACACCCCCCCAGAACCGAGTGGTATCTTCTCCTCCATCAAGAGCCTCATCTGGAGCACACCCAAGATGGTGGGTGCAGATCAGGTTACCTGTGATCACGTCGGCAGAACGTACTACCCCTGCACGAAACCTGTGATGTATTTGGTATAGCACTTCAGCACAACGTCTCATATAAGGTTATATTTGTGTACATAGTCTGTAGTTTTCAAATGTTGTGTCGGAAAAGGTATCCTCTGTATCAGGCAAAATTCTGATGCAGCGTTGACCAAACATCCAACGAAAACCGCGAAAAAGCAGGGTTTCACACAGGCACAGTACATTCTGCTGACATGCTGGTTATAACTGTTATGAGTGGGGTGGAACCTTTCAGATGACTGACACCTTTTAAACCGCAATTCTTTTCAAGGAACACAGTTTAATTTGCCAGTCTAAAGCCTGGTATAGGCTAATGTTTCTGTATGTATTCATGCATTTAAAATGCTTTCATTCTACTTTTTCACCTTCCCATCTTACTTGAGTTTCCTTCCTGTGTTTCTGTTTCTTCTCTCTTCAGTTTTCACTCTGGGGCAAAGAGTCATCGGTAAGGAACCAGTAGTTTCCTTTCTGTTTCTCTTTCTTTCATTTTCTTGCAACCTTTTGTGTGTGCTTCTTTTTTCGTGCATATTTTGATTTACGTACATGCTTTGACTATGTAGGTGAGGGTTAGGCATCCAGGTAATAAGATACACCAACAAACAGTTATTCAAGCAACTGGATATGATATTGGAAACGTTCAGACCTTTCAGGTAGCATCCATTACTTTTCATCAGTGACACTGGAGAATTGTCAAGTTATCGTGCTGACACATACACAAACCCAACCAAAAACATAGCTTTCTTGGTAAAGGTAATTATTACTCTAGAATGGTAACATTTGCAAAGCAAAAGCATAACGTTTTCCTTTCGCATATGGACTGCTCTGTTAATTCTCACTCAAATACATGACAGGAGTCTAAATCCCTCCTGCTATAAAACTGCAACATGATGTAACCCAACACTAGTTACCATTGTGACAGACATCTGGTTCAGGTCATTGACCTTATTGGTTTGGAAAAGAAGAAACAAAGGAAAAACAATGTTTTTCTTCGGTAAACATGAAAATTGTTTTATTCGCAGGGTGATGCGAGCTCCCCGCCGAGAAAGCGTCGTAAGGAAGTCGTGGACGCCGACAGCACGATTATTTCCTCCACTCCGGTCGGCGGGGTCAAAACTCGTGCCGGGAAACAAGCCAAGAGGGGAAAGGTCGCGAAGAAGGGCAGAGGTCGGCCCCAGAGAAACGTAGCAGCCAAGTCGGCAGCGGCAGATTCGGAGGCGGAAGGGGAAACCTCGGAAGCTAAGGGTAAAGAAGGTGCGGCATTCGCATGCTGGTCATTCAAACTCAGAAGTTGAAGAGGGGACCACACTTGCTCCTCTTTTGTTGCTTGGTCAGACCCTTTATGGTAGAGATGTTGTCACAATGCTGTACTTTTAGTATTGTTACTACTTGAAGTTAGATGTTTTAGTACCTGCGTTTATAAAGAAAAAGTACATACATATGTAGTTCCTCCTCTCAAGTATTTTTAAAAAATGGCTACTTCATTACTGTTTATGTTCTTGAATATTCCCATACTCTAACTTGAGGGGTTGGAAGTGCTGCAGTACTGCAGAGGCTTGCATGGGGGCGCTTGAGTGCTGTCTTCCTTTACAGGGCCACTGATATTTGCTTGTTTGAACCATAGCTGCTCTTATTACATAAATATCTTTACATTCATGTTCAAGTGACACTTAAAAATAGTTGGAAATCCTGCAGTACTGCTGATACTTGCATGGGGGCGCTTGACTTATATCCAGGGCCACCGATATCCACTTGTTTGAACTATAGTAACTCGTACATAAAAATTTTTACATTCAGTAAATCAATAAACCCATCATCATGTTGGAGTGACAATTTTGACAGTAGGAAATGCAGTACTGTAGTACTGCTGAGTCTTGCATGGGGGCGCTAGAGTGCTGTCTTTGCCAATTATATCCATTTGTTTTTGTTCCAGTTGTGACCAGAGCCCAGACCCGAGCGAACCCAGACGCCAGTCCGAAGAGAACAACTCTACTGGGGACTCTTTTCTCACCTGTCTTCTCATTCTTTGGGCAAAACAGTAAGTAGTGTCTTCATTTGAAGGTTAGACAAAAATCTAAATCGTACAAAATGAGGAAATATATGTCGTATGTTGCAAAAAAAAGATACTAATATCATAGAATGCGGAAATCAATTCAGGAAAAGAAGGAAATGTGAAGAAATGATGAAGAGTCTATATTATTATTCGCCATACATACCATACTCTGTGTGTTTAATCATTTGTTCAAGCTTTATGACCACGTAGATTTCATATTGAAGGAAACTTTTCTTTTTATGAACTTTTTTTTATTCGCAAGTCCGTTTTGGGGTTAGTATACTTAAAGGTGGTTTACCAGTCATGCTACAAGAGGAACAAAGAAAAGTTGGGCCTGTGGAACTCTAATGTCTGTTTCCTGTTTCTGCAGGTGCAAATAAGGAGAACACAGACGAGGCAAACAAGGCCGAGCTGGACCAGGTCGCAGAGGTCGTCTCCACGACAACTGACGATGACCCCCAGGAGGGGTCAACTGGAGCAGGTCAGGGGTCACTTCAAATTCAAATCAGTGTATTTACTAAAATTGTGAATCTATAGTTGTTGGAGACTGTAGGAATATTTCCTCTAAATAATTTAATCAGGTTGGTAAACGAATGAATAGCAAAGTTCTTTGATCACAACCATTTATTTTTCAAGAGCCAACTATGTAACACCTTTAGTGAACTATGCACCAAGTAACATCTACCGTCAGTGCACAGTGAACCAGTCAGAATTGCCCTGATGTAGATGACAGACGGTCATCGAAACGTCGGCTCGTGAAAAATAAATGGTTGTGATCAAAGGACTTTGCTATTCATGTAGGAATATTGTTTTGCCTGTTGTTTTAATAATACTAAGTGTGACACCTGCCACAACCTAAGGTACACTAACAGTTCCTATGGTGTTGTCTTACCATAGGAACTACCCTATCTCCTTTACATATCAATGACCTAATGGACCTTTGTCTTGTTCATCCGGTTTTTCCAGTTGCTCATATATACAAATATAAGTGTTAATGAGTTCTGTTAGTTCATTAGTGATGCTGAAGAAGAGTGGTGGATGTCACTCAAAACGTCCGGTTATTATCTCCGTAATTTATCCAGTAGTAGAGTTTGAATTTCCTATGAGTAGGTGTGACACAGTTCTTCTGACAAATGGTCTTCCCTACAAAGTCTGGTGAGTGGATCAAACCTTACAGTCTGGTCTTACACAGCTTGTACTTACTGTTAAAAAAAGGAGGTAAAAGGCAGTGGAAGGAGAGGGATGGGCTCTACCTTTCAATACCGTGCCCTAGACACAGTGGACTAACAACCCACTGTTCTGAGAACCAAAAGCTGAAAGGCAGTGGAAGGATCTTTCTTGGGATGGGCTCTGCCTTCCAAGACATGGATAACTTGCATGCTCTTAGCTACAGTCTAAAATACTTTACTGACTTTACCCATTTTTACTCTGTTGTTAAGTTGGTTACCAGGATGAGAAAAGGCAGTGGAAAGATCTTTTCGTTTGATGGATTCTGTCTTCCAAGACATAGTGACATAGACAAGACATGACATAGACATTTATGCTCTGCCCCTACTGTCTCAGAAACCGTACAGAACTAACTTTGTTTGTTTGTTTAGTTGGTTACCAGGAGGAGAATCAGCCATGCGAGGTTCCCGCGCCCATCTGCCCGCAGACGGAGGAGCGGTACCAGTACGTGTCTCCCGAGGAGGGCGCAGATTACGTCATGGATGATGAGTGGGAGACTTTCGACCCGTGAGTTTTACCTCCGTGTATATTAGCTGTGTTGTTTAAAGCTCTTGGGTGCTCGAGTTGTACAGTCAAAAACTTGTGTTGTAAATTACAGTTAACTAGTATATTATCTACATGACCTGTAAGTTTAATGGTTTATTGGTTTCTTGTATAATACATGTACATGTACAGCTACTCTGTCAGGAGAATTCATACATACATCACAGGACATAAAAGTTACCTAATAATTACAGAATAACAGCATAGAATAACATCTTGTGAACACAAGCAGTAAAAGAATCAGCATATGGTATATCGTATATGCCTATAAGTGTATCAGTAGTTTTTGTTACCTTTTGGCACACAAAGATGGGTCCAGACATAGAGTAGGTTAACAGCAAGTCTACGGACTTTGAGATTGCTCTACTTTAAAAGTTTATAAATGGATCCATTCGACAAAGATCACCCACCATCTATCAGAAAAGATAGAGGTTTCTGAATGTTAATTTTTGCTGATGCTACCCCAGGTACTACTTCATCAAACACCTGCCCCCGCTGACAGAGGAGATGAGACAGAGACAGCCGGCGCTGCCGCTCAAGACTCGCAGCACGCCGGAGTTCTCTCTCGTGCTTGATCTGGTAATTATAAGTCTTCTTCAGTACTCTCCAAGCAGATTTTCGTCTTGCTTTAGCGTTAGACATTTCTCAGGCGTTTTATAAATTTCCAGCTTTTGAGAAAAGCTGTCTTGATAGAAAGTAAAACAAAGCACCTAAAAATGCCCAAGAAATGCCTAGCCTAACCTCTGCTGGGTGAGTTATGTTCAGTTTTCCTCTTGCATTTCTTGGTAAAGACAATCAGAGATGGTAGAGAGACAACTCGCACAAATATTGTACATAGAAATGCATATCATTAAACACCATGATCAGAGAGCATGATTGAAGGCTGACAGTCATGGTATGACTGCTAAGCTTTGACTTGCGAACAGTCTGGAGGCCTGTAATGATGGAAAATGGAAAAAAATGTCGCCATCGGCAAGAATTTGAGCGTTGGAAATGTCTTAACTTTGTTTTCTCCCGTGTGTCCAGGATGAGACTCTTGTCCACTGCAGTCTGAATGAGCTGGAGGATGCAAACCTCACGTTTCCTGTGCTCTTCCAGGATGTCACATACCAGGTATGGAAAACAAACATATACGGTTTAACAGCTGTACAAGTAAGCATACACCATAGCCTTACTGTAGGTATGGAAAAACAAATAGTGTATATCACAGTGTTGTAACCAGTCAACCTTTCTGTCATTTGATGGAATTTTGAAGCTCATGACAGAAAATATTTTGCCCAATCCATCATCTTTGACCGGAAAATATCGTTGCGTAAATACATGGAAAGAGAGTCAACAAAGTAGTCTTTGTCTGCCAGCAAAATCTCCCCCTCAAAATGCAGGAAGTAGTGTTTCAGAGGTTCAAGATTTCATGCCCACATTCAACAAAATTCAGGTGATGGAAAAAAAATCAAGATGTAATGTAGAGGAAATATTTTCAAATTGGTAGTTTTAGTCTATGTTGAAGATGGCTGCGTAGATAAAGTACCAATAATTATTGAAAGTTGTGTTAAATGATGCAAAAATCTGTTCCTGTCCAGGTGTATGTGAGAACACGACCGTACTACCGGGAATTTCTGGAGAGAATGTCCAAGTTATACGAGGTGAGAGTGAGACTACTTGTAGTATTATTGCTTTCTCTGTTGTCACTTCCCTTCATGTGTAAAATTGAATGCTTTTCTGGTGTTCACAATTGTAACTTCACTCCCTTGTACCCCCACTCAGAACATTCTCTGCAAGAACACGCTTAGCCACCTTAACAGCAGAAAATCACCCTTTCTTCCTCAATAGTCCATCAGTCAAGAGAAAATTTCATGCTGACAGTTTCTTCCCCAGAACCACTTCACTGTGGAACAAGCTTCCCCGTGAATGTTTCACCGCTAATTACAACCTCCAACGGTTTAAATCAAGGGTGAACAAATATCTGACCACGCAGTCATCACTGTAACCCAAAACACGTAAGTGGCTCTCACGAGCCTTGTTTTGAGGTGAATCTGAAGTAAATTTAAAAAAAAAAAATTTAACTGAGATTTTTTGTGTGTTTTCAGATCATCCTGTTCACTGCTTCCAAGAAGGTTTATGCAGACAAACTCATGAACATCCTAGATCCCAGAAAGGAGCTAGTTAGGTAAGTTTGCATGAAGGAGTTTGCTCTGTTAAGATAATTCTACCTCCATGCCTGTTTGTATATGTGTTTGCTTGTGTTTCAGTAGTTATTTCCACATGCTTGGCACATTGGTTTCAACAATTAAATAATCTAGCACTTGAAAATCTGAAAAACTTATAAATACTATTGTTTTTAAAGTAATATGTAAACCCTCATACAAAAACAAGAATTCACCACTAAGAAAAAAAAAGGTGGCTACATGTACAAGTAACAGATGATTGGCTAAACTTGTTCAGTACAGTTCAGGTACCCTCACCTAAAATTTGTATAGCTCTAGTCGGAAGTTTAAACTGTAATGTTAGTTATATAAACATGATCGTTTGTGCTGCAGTATTATGATGGTTTTATATTGTTTGAATTTCAGGCATCGGTTATTCCGTGAGCACTGTGTTTGTGTACAAGGCAACTACATCAAGGACCTGACAATACTGGGACGAGATCTCACCAAAACTATCATCATAGACAACTCACCACAGGCTTTTGGCTATCAGGTTAGTACAAGGCATACTTTTAACAAATACTCTTTTAACCAAACACACAACAAAAAGTTGGCTACTCTGGGGAGCTTTCGAGATGCACTCTGTCTCTTCATCAAGACGGTAAGATCTCATGTTTGAGGTTATGCTGATAACACACATGGCTCTGTGAGTAGTGGATCATTGGTTGCCGAAAGTCTGTGGTTCCCCCTGTCAATATTTCCTGTCTTCCATTTTCTGTATCGGTTTAGCCGATATAACCGCCCTTCGGCATAACACACAAGCTTTGCAGGCACGCAGCGCAGCGGCAGCTAAATATATTTTACACCGAACGACCTGTTACACCCAATCGTTGCACCTTTAACTACAGGAGTTGTTTAAAGCTTTCTAGAGATGATGCTCCAACTGTACTTGATGGCAACGAGTTCCACTCTATGTGGTAAGGATGCAGCACTCAGGAGCTATAATAGGTTTGGTAACCAGGCTACTCTAGGATAGTTCTTGGAAAATTAACTTAATGTTTCTGTGTTTCCCTCCCCAGTTGGATAATGGGATCCCGATCGAGAGCTGGTTCATGGATAAGAATGACGTGGAGCTGAAGAAACTGATCCCCTTCCTCGAGACGGTCGCTAAGTCGGTAAGGAAACTTTTTCTCTCCACTGTTAAAAGCAAACTCATTTTACACTGTGTACTCAATGTTTTCTGTACAAATAAATTTCTAGGTTAGGTGCACCAACACACCTTTGCCTCAAAATGAATTTTTAGCCTTTGTCATAGAATACTTATTGAGACTGAAACAGGCTTGGAGGGATAGGAACTTATCTCTGTGATGTATGACAAACAGTTTTGGCGAGCTAACTTTGTATGCTCCACCTCTACATAGGATGTCAGATGATGATGATGATAGAATACACTGTATTCAACACAGAAAATAGAATACAGAGACCTTTAAATGAAGAAACAAGCTCTTGCCATCGCTCAAAGGTCCATACATTTTCAAAACACTATCAGAGGCAGAAAATGATACTAGAAACAGTATTTTCATTTAGTTTTTGTACAGCTATCTGGTAAGAGGTGATCTTTGTTCTTTATTTTTTGGTCCATCACAGACTTATTGCCTTTTCTTCAAAGTATTCCTTGGTGGGAGGGATATACCCACAATATCTCAACGAATTAAAAGAAAATGTTAGACTGCATAGTAACTATGGCATACATGTATGGTACATTATATATGATGTGAATTTTTTCCTCCCTTTTTCCCCAGGGGTCTGATGTTCGCCCCGTGTTGCAAGGTAAATACCGTCTGCACGAGTTCCTGCCTCCAGACTAAAGCTGGCATCACGTTCCGCACGCACAGATTCCAACCGTGACAACCTACGCTCGGCACATCTGCAACATCCACCCTGTCCACCCCTATAACAGAGTCCAACATTCCGCAGTTCCATATGTGTCTGTTGGATACTGGACTGTTGCATTTTGAAATAGGGGTGTGTGGATACAAAGAACTAATGAATAGTGCAGCATTTTTGGTAGGAAAAGGCAGCAATATGTTTATTGTAAGCTGTATAAGGATTGTTTTTCTTTCCTCTTAAAGCAACGTCATGCTAACTGAGGGAGCTGACTTTTTTCGCTGCCCGCTTTTTCACTTTTTTCAACTCCACTGTTTTCAGATGGCAAGTTGTGGTGCACTGAAATTCTAACCTTCTTTGGGTTGTTTCATTTTTTGTCAGTTTCTTTAAAAAACTTCATGTAAAGAAAAATCCCTCAGTGTATAATAATTCCTTGCCTTTTAGTCTGATTATTTAAGTCTTTTCTTATTTTGAGTCATATTTTCATCCCCCTTGATTTTAAAAGAATGGAATGTGTCACTTTTTCTGACGGCCATGTTTTTTTAGAAAAAGTGTATGGTGTCGTCTCTTGTCATAACAACAGTCCCATCATTATTTGAATATCAGACATTTCAAACTCTTGTGTAAAATGTAACTCCTGGGTAGCATAGTTGTACCAGCTAAGTGCACCACAGTTTTTTGCTGTCTGAAAATTGGGACTTTTTTTTTTCAATTTCTTTGCTATGTACACGTATCTAGCGTGTAAGTTATATGGGAAGTGCTCTATGCTATTGTGTTCACTGTTATTTGGCCAAAACATCCCCAGGCAGTGTTTTTTTCCCCGCGTTTAATTGTGTTGAGAAAATAATTTTGCCTAAAAGGTTTAAATCTTTTTAAATCAATGTTCTTTAAGGATTTTATTAGTTTCTTGAGCAAGAGAAATTCCTCTTGAATAGGGAAAGCATTTAACCTTCTCTTGTAGCTCAAACATTTAAGGAGTTTTATCGATAGTTTTAGTTCTGTGTGCTTCAGTGGAAAGTTAAGTTTAGTTTCTGAAATTATTTTATTTTTTGTTTTTAGTTCTATCTAGCCCACAGTAGAACCTACAATGACTGGAAAAGAGCTAAAAAAACACATTTTTTAACACTAAATGCTTTAAAAATTCACATCTTTATCCTCAAAAACGTTCTTTTATAATCTCAGCTTTTAAGATCATAATCAAAATGTTCCGTTTCAAATAATTTTCTATGACAGAAAAATAGAAAGTCTTCAGTTAGTAGAAACTTGTAGAATGTGTAAATGTTGGTCGAAATTCGGTGTATAAACTTGTAAAGATAAAATGAGAATCATTTGTTCATTGTCTGTCCAACTCACTGTTTGTATTGTGATTAACTGTTGTTATGTCACCATGGTAACAGCAAAATGACACGCAGTATGCAAAAACATCAGTAAACTTTGAATAGCAAAGTTCTTTCTATCACAACCATTTATTTTTCAAGCCAACGTTTCGATGACCTTCTGTCATCTTCATCAGGACAATTCTGACTGGTTTACTGCGCACTGACGCTAGATGTTGCTTGGTGCATAGTGCACTAAAGGTGTTACATAGTTCATAGTGGACTTAAGCTAGTTTTGTCTGTTTACAATGCGTTACGGAATGTAGTGTAATTGTGACATACATACTAGGCATTGTTACATCATAGGGAAATATGCGGTACCGAAACGTTGGCTTGAAAAATAAATGGTTGTGATAGAAAGAACTTTGCTATTCAGTCGTTTACCAACCTGATGAAATTATTTACGGATCAGTAAACCTTGTATAGCTGTAAAAAAATCCTCCCAAAATATCTTCCGGTGACTCCTACAAGATAGTTCACTGTTTGAATTGTGTATGTCAAACCATGAGCTGACTTATTGCTGAAAATGATGTTGAAATTTTCCCCCGTAGAAGAGAGATCAAGTAAAAATGGAAAATATGGGGACGAAAATTAATGTGTAAATGAGATACAGGATTGTACAGACTCTGTTTCGTGTTTAAACAATGTTTGTTAATGTTAGTCTGAAACACAAGGAAACAAAGAAATGCATGACTTGGATCTCTGTTGCATTCAAGCAAAGGCTAGGAAATTCTTCGTATTTCGCAGTGTGCTTGTACTCTTCTAATCTTTTCTGGCGATTTTGCATCAAAATTTTGGATGTAAAAAGGTCTAAAATTTTGTGGTGCCCGCAGAAAATTTTTGTGAGAGATTATCCATACTTCTTTGTCAATAGAGGCATGATCCAGTGGTAGGCAAAATTGCAACAAAACAAAACTCTCTACTTAATGTTGTTTCTGTGCACTCTGTGTGTCAAAAAGTCGTCCTGATCATACAATAATTATCTGTACCCGTCTAATTGTTAAAAGGAAACAAGTTGTGTGTTTATGTGAAAACTCGTGCCCTTTTGGTCCTTTGCTTTAACTGCACTGCTACCAAATTGGTACACAATTGCATCCATAGACTGCTAAAGATTTCAGAACTCTTTTGAAACTATTCTGCTTTTCAATCTATTTGTCATTGCTAGGCATAACACTTTTAATTAATATTTTCATTAACAAGGGGAAAGGGGACTGTGTACAAGTAAAAAAGTGTTTTCATTTCCAAACTTGGTGAAAAGAATATGGAAAAATCACAGCTAACATTTATTCAGGCCAGGCTTTCTACTGAAAGTTTTGGTGGTCTCTTAGTTCCCTACTACATACCTGCACCAACTTAGATTTAAAATGTCGTCATGTCAAGTTTACAAGAAAAGGCTTCAAAGTAACAAATGTACTCAATCCATCTCTTTCATTTGGAAGAATTTTTTTGACAAGAAAGCAGTTGAGTCACTACATGTGTATGTGAAGACTTGTTGCACTTATTCTTGTTTGTTTATTTGTCTGTTTAGATTGTATTAATTCTCATGCTAAAAATGTTATAGAAAAGTATAGTATTTTTTTTTCTGATAGTCTCTTTTAGTGGCTAGTCAAAGTTCAGAAAAGGTCTATCTTGTAGCCAGTAGAGTCTGTTGGAGACTATATTTTGTTAGTATTTTTGTTGAATATTATTTACAACTGTAAAACATGTTATAAGTGTAAGGTACAACAATTTTGAGACCTGTGGAAACACTACCGAAGAACTTTGACAAATGCTTGTTCTTGTAGCTTCCTTGCGCAATATAAGGCAAAAGTTCTGTGTAAATGTCACTGTGAAGGTCAACAAGATGGCTGCCAGGTGATCTCCATATTTAGCGTAGTTGTCCCCTGTTGAATCATGGGAACAGAAAAATTATCAGGTTCTGAAAACTCGTTCTACATTCCAAGCTAGGTCGATAGATCAACATAACTGTTAGACATACATGTAGTAATAGGACTCATTGACAAGTTTATGTCCGAGCACAAAGTTCTATATAGAAATACAGCTTTTCTGGGATAAGCTGTCGGCCATTTTGTTGACATTGTTCAAGGTCAAACATGTATGTATGTATGCATGGGTTGTAAAGAAAAAAAGAACATTTTTGGAATTCGTGTTCCGCCGTCTTATAGACACGTCATACAGTACACACCTACAATGTATGTATCAGTGAATATAAGGTCTTCAAAATGTTATTTTTGTAAAAATTCCTGTCCTGAATTTAAGGGTATGCTATCACTGTAGAAACCACCGTTGCAGACAATTCAGAAGTGCATGTACCATGTAGTTACCTGATATATTATGAAGCCATTGCTCCTATGTTCCCTTCTGTAGTTACAAAATATACTGAGTAGCTACAAAATATACTGACTAGCACGTCGGCAGAACGTACTGCGCCTGCGCAAAACCCCGATTTTTACAATCTTCGTTTGGTTTTTGGTCAACGTTGCATCTGAATTTTGCCTGTTGCAGGCGATATCTTTTCCGGCACAACATTTGGAAACTACAGACGGGATGTTAACTTTACATTGTATATACACAGATAGGACCTTATATGAGACATTCTGTCTAAGTGTTATGTACAATACATTACAGGTTTTGCGCAGGTGCAGTACGTTCTGCCAAAGTGCTGTTTATGAATGTCTCACTAGCATAATCTAGTAGACATAATATGTCTCACGTTTGTCCACAGCAAAAGCCACAATTATAATGGAACGATAATCGGGTCCATATGTGCAATGGCAATGTAATATTCTTAATTTTATATATCTTGACGTTGAATTTTTGCTTGTCAATATGTGTTCACCCGCAAGTTTCTTAGCAGAAAGAGTTTAATTTCAATTTTGAAGGCTGTCGCCCAGGCCAGTGCTTTGGAAACGGTGAAACATAAAGTACCGTAGTCCATGAGTAAAGAGACTCTTTTTACATAGCCAAGTCTTTCATTCAGCCGACGTTTCGGTGACCGTCTGTCACCTTCCTCAGGGCAATTCTGACTGGTTCACATTGCACAGCACAGGTGTCACTGCTATAGTGTATATATAGCTCCCAAATGTACAATATTTACAAATCTACACATATGTGTGATTGTACGTTTGGGAATGCATCTATAGCAGCGACACCTGTGCTGCAGTACAGTGCAATGTGAACCAGTCAGAATTGTCCTGAGGAAGGTGACAGACGGTCACCGAAACGTTGGCTGAATAAAAGACTTGGTTGTGTAAAAAGAGTCTCTTTACTCAGTGTCTTACCAACCTGATGAAACTATTCACGGATACCCTTATTGGCTAGTCAATGTCTGCACATACATGATATTATCAGACCCGCAATGACAAGAACATTTCTATACCTTACTGTAACTACATGTATGTAACCAACCAGTTTTACTTGTGTATTCAAATTTGTAGAATAGTGGAATAAAAAGTCTATAAAAGGGATCATTGTGATTTGTCTTGTTGCTTTCTTTGTCTTTTGGAGGTAGGTAAACATTGCAATGTACAAAATGTAAGGGTATACTATTAGATTTTACTCTCCAAGCAGAGCTTTGGGTTTTGGCTTATTTTGGGTGCAAAGTGCAAAAAAGAAAGCTCAATAAAAAAAGCCTCAAAACATGCTAAAAAATAAGCCAAAACCCAAACATCTGCTTGGAGACTATAGATTTGCCATTGGGTTTATGAAAAAAGTTCTTTATTCAACAACAACCAGTGAATTTTTACATCAGAATTTTCATCGAAACAAGAATCTTTATCAGAATATTGGGATATTCCTTTCCAAAACCTGTTGTTCCTTCTCAATATTGAATTGTTTACATGAAAAAGTATCCCTCATTTGAACGTATTCTTCATTTTGACATGCCGTTATTTCCGTCATTGCGATATCATTTGCATCAGGCAAACCACGGTCCCAAAATAGCGCCGCCCGACGGTTGAAATCATCACTGCAGGAAAACCAGCATCTATCGATCGTTGCATAGTGCAGCTTTCGTCCTGGTTTCTAGAGTTTCTAACGTGACTTTTGACGTTTCAAACGGCTGCCAACCACTATGAATGTATGTTGAGGAGATTTGAGAGCTTTATATTGTATATATTGTACGTTTTTTAAAGATTCGTCGGTTTCGTGTACAAAATTGTGGCCGAAATATTGACAAAAACGCTCCACATTCAGCCGCTCGTATTAGCCGTTCTAGGAATGTCTGTCTCAAAATAAACGAATTCAGGGCTAAAATGGTTCTTTCCCTATAAATTCGTGATATTTTGGTAGTCAGGGTGGGCCTCAATGTCAAGAACGAGAGCCGAAAAGACTTGGAGTAAAACCCCCATAAGAGCCCATCGCGTTTCCCCACTCGCGTTTCCCCACTCGCGAAATGGCCAAATCTGGGAATGAGCGAGGCTTCGTTAGCGAGATACGGGCCTTTTCGGAACGGGGACCCGAAAACGGGGGTGTGATAGGGGATGAATTTCCGCTCTTTCAATTTTAGAAAAATACAACTTATGGCATTTTCCCGTGCCCCTGTTTTTAGAGTATACTCCTCGTGGCCTCTATTATATTCCTGCTTAATGCCATTGCGCAAAAACTCTCTATTCTCGAGTTATAAGTAAAAATGTGTTTTAGCGATCAGCTGATCGCTTGCAGAAGTGGTCACTGTCTTTGCAGAAGTGGAGTTTTCGCTATCGGATACATTACCATATGAATGAAAACCAAGCAGATGTCACAGAGAAAATCGTAAAGTAAGCTAGAGGATTCCCACTGTATGCGATTTCCCCGCTGACATCTGCTTGGTTTTCATTCATATGGTAATGTCTCCGACAGCGAAAACTCCGCTTCTGCAAAGGATTTGACCACTTCTGCAAGCGATCAGCTGATCGCAAAATCACGTTTTGGCTTATAACTCGAGAACGGAGAATATTTGTTGGAAGATAATACATAGAACTATAGTGAATATAATAAGGAGTATAACCTGAAAAGAAGGAGGCTGAAAAATGCCAAAAGTTTTATTTTTCTGAAATTGAAAAAGCGGAAATTAATCTCCTATCACATCCCCGTTTTCGGGTCCCCGTTCCGAAAAGGCCCGTATCTCGCTAACGAAGCCTCGCTCATTCCCAGATTTGGCCATTTCGCGAGTGGGGAAACGCGATGGGCTCTTATGGGGGTTTTACTTCAGGTCTTTTCGGCTCTCGTTCTTGACTTCGAAACTACTTCTGACTACCAAAATACCTGGAATTAATCAAGAAAGAACCGTTCTATTAAAAGACGTTTTAATTGGAAGCCTTTCTTTACCAGAGAGGCCTGTCAGAGCGGTTAAATTCGGAGCTTTTTTGGTCACTAATCGCCGACGTTTCGGCTTTAAAGTGGTTCACAGTTTCAGAATTGGTGCAATATTCTCTCTCTCTCTCTCTCTCTCTCTCTCTCTCTCTCTCTCTCTACTTTTAAGAACAGTCTAAACATTACTATATAATAAAAAAAAACTTACTAATAGTCACTTTTCTGAAGTCACACAT